CAATAGCCGTACTCCTTAAGCACCACTTTGTTGTTGTGTGAGGTTCACCTCCCCCCCCCCCAATATAACGGTGAGAAATTCAGCCTGATCTGCTAAAGCTCCATCATATCTAGGGCGAAGAGACGATGCAGCCATTCGCAAATAACAAGTGTGATAAATGCTCTGCATCAAAACTAACGTCTTTGCACCAGTTTAGACAATTAAGAGGGACTCCAAGACTGTTAGTGAGCGATGGCACCTCTTTCGCACAATTTTTAATGGATGCTGATGCGACTGTGTTCAACGAATACCGCTAATGTCAGTTGTGCAACCGGCATTCAACTCTCCAATGAGACTGACTAATGACAAACAAGGTTAATGACATATTCATATAAAACATTTAACAGTGGTCAATTCCCTTGAATCGAACTCCTGCTGGTAGTCTACGAAAGTGCAGCAGAATCACACTGAACATGACATTCGTTGTACTTCAACGTCGGCTGATGGATTACATCTACACAACGGATGGTAGAAAACCCTCGATAAAAACCGGCTTATTCCCGACTTGCGACTGGTTCGAGGTCTTTTCGAATACGGTTCAAAATGATGAGGAACACACTGAAGTCTCCTCAGATAATCGTATAAATAGTCTTCTTCACTGTACCTTCCAATTCGTCATAAAACTGCTCGACCTTCTCACTTTTAGCATGTAGGATGAGGTTGAACGTTTGGATCATTTTCCCTGTTCGACTTTTATACATCTGTAGCAACAGAATTGCTATACGAGATGACTTAATATCACAGCTCGGTAAAAACTATAGGTCTTTCATTCTATTATGATCGCAACGCCGCTGATCCGATCTCGGTTCTCCGATCTAAGACCTTCCCGAAGAAAACTTTGTCAATGCTGTTTTATTACGTAACAAGCTCGATCGACCCTCGGTTCTCGCATATTCAAATGACGCCTGCCTTGATCTTCTTCCTTTCCGTGATGCACGTCTGTCAACATCGTTCTTGCATTATGGTTGGTCACGAAGATCTTGACGATGTTCCGGATCTGTCTACCATTCATTTCCTGTTTTATGAGTGAGACATAGGTGCTGTTCAGGCCGACAGAGCAGCCTACATATATTTTCCCCGTTTTTTTCAATCTTTGTGTGTTTATGAGAAAGTATTGTTTTGCAGTACATTCGGGGTGCCAACCATCGTAAATATCGCTAACATATCCTAAAAGTCAGTCAGTTCAACCTAATCAGAAAAGTTGAGTAACTTATTAGGTTTTGAATGCGGAAAGCTATCACTGGCGAGTGGCAGGCAACATCAACGTTTCCATCTACCCGAAGGGGCTACCGCCAAACTTACAGGTCATCAAGAGCAGGAATACCAGCCATTAAGGATAATTTTGATTATGGTTTGATGAATAATGATTTTCATAAAACCATAACGAGATGACCATGCACAGAGCCAACTAAAAAACAGTCTTAATGTGCACCACTCAAATGACATGAACGATGGTCGATGGCCGTCAAAAGTAAAACATTCTTTGGCGTTACGTATCCTATGGTAAAAAATGTTGAATACGGTACTTAGTGATGATCTGGTGATAGTTTCTTGAGCTAGAGTGCCCGGAAAAGCATAGAGAAAAAATAAAAAATAGTCCAGGAACAAAAAGTGCTATAACGAATTGATATCATAAAGTTTAGCGTGAAATGCGCTATTGTTATATATGAAATAACCATAACCAGGCTTAGTAATTGGCAAACTAAAATCGCTTCATATTTTTTTATCATATAGAAGGTTTTCATAGGTGACTGTAGGTTAAAAAAGAAATTATGCAACAGCTAGATTGACTGTCTTTTACCAGCCAGTGTTATAGTTGGGATTCTAACTCGATACCTATCAACTGCAAACCTGGTTCTCTAAGGCTTGAACCACATCATCCACAATCACCAAGTCGAACTATCACCGACAACATGTAACCTAAACCAATTAATCATAATCTATACATCTGATGAACGTGGCAGCACAATACAATGGAGTTACATGCATCATGAGCATCTGTAACAGCAGCAATCTTTATTAAAATCGTGTTCATGTTTGATAGACTGACGACTGACAATGGGAGAATCATCGGAACCATTCACTTCAACTGCCCTTTACACATACACCAACAACGAAAAACTTTTGAAAACACTGGCAGCTATGCTCAAACGTCCCATACAATCTGGTCTATTCAAGAACAGAAGTTTTGACGTTATCTTTAGTCAAACTTAACTTTGTCATATCCCTTTTTCCCTTTAAATTATAACAGAACCGACTCAGACAGTTGCATAATCTTGACTTTTAAAAAAAAATATTACTAAAATATGAAAGGGCGTCTGCTAAATTTGAAAACTGAACACTTATTCTTTCACGCGGGAGACTAGTTCCACGATCTTCATGTTTTGCCATGGAATTCCTTTGCATATAAACCTTACTGAATAAACTGTATAAAATACTGATATCACATGATACTGACACTGATACTCACACCATTTCTGACTCACTGTCAAGATGGAAGGAAAACGCAGATTTTATAAACATCAACAATTTGACTTTTATAATAAGTTTAGCCCTGGTAACGGGTCAAGCATGATCCAAAACGTTAGAGAATCTGCGTATAATAAATTTTATATGCGCAAAAGAGCTTGTCGAACTAAATTCTAGTAAAACAGAACCCGCATCCGTGATTAGACATTTATGTTCCTTTTTATCATTGTCACCCGGGGTACGTAGATTAATGATGTCTGATGCTTTGGCTTCTAAGAATGATTTAGGAGACGTTGGTTGCTGCGACAATGGTCACATTCCTCGTCGGAAGTAAGTCCGCCTCCAGCAGCTGCGTTAGAGTGCGATGTAGGCTTCCGACGCGCCGACGGCCATCCTTTTCTTCCCCAAGGTGAACGGTTTTAAATCAGTCTCCATTCTCTTACAGGATAGTTTCTTCAAATTATAATATACGCCGGTCCCTGATTTCTTCAGACCGTATTCTCAGGCCGGCCATCTCTAGGATCTTTTCATTCTATATTCGATAGAACCATTGCTCCTTCAGAATGTTCGCAGACAGCGATATTGGAAAGTGTCCAACATGTTTTCATAGCGCTCTAAAAGGGTTTACGTTTCAAGATTGTACATCAAGACTGAAGAAGACGACGACTTTCAGCATAGCGATGTTTGTAGCTGTCCGGAAAGATCGGTCTTGTCACACTTTAAAAAATGGCCCAACAATTATATTACAGTATTAACAATAACACATCTTTACTTCTTGATTTATGGTTTAAGGCAACAGAACTTACCTTCTCATTAATCGCTGCGATCCAACTGATCTGTGACATTATAATATCACTTAGGCGGAATGAGTTCGTACAATCTTTAAAAGTTTGACGTTTAAAAATATGCGAGGGTTCATCGATTAACAGATGCTGACCACTTTCTGTCGACATAAGAAAAATTCTGCGAACTAAACGAATGTCTCTCGAAGCGTAGAAAACAAAAGCCGGCATACTATTCTCAAACCTGCTAAATGTTTGTTCCGCGACTGCGATGGTTTGAATAGCGAATAAAGCATTTTACATTGTCTTAGTAAATCATTACCGTACAAGAAGAACAGAGTAAAAAATATGAAAAACTATCCATACTGCTATCGTAATAATAAACGTTGGTATGCAAGCATAAGCAGACGAGCTACGTACCTTCAGGTAGTTGTCCAATATAGTTTTGCGGATTCTGTCGGAGCCGGGGATTTCGACCAACTGCACCGGAAAGCCAGGTATGGCAATCTCGTGCACGTTCTCCTTCATAGAGGTTACCGTCTTCACCGAGTGCCCGACGGCTAGCTCTACGAACATAAGCGTCTTGCCCGAGTTGGTGATACCACAAAGGAGCAGTGTCTTTCTCGTTGACTGTCCGAGCAGCAGCACTAACAGCATCAGGATGGTCGAAATCACAACCACCACGATAGCGACCAGGATCGGAACAGGCACCGAAGCCGCTATGACCCCGGTCACGTTCTTTACAGTGTCTACAGTCATATCCATTGTTGGAGGTAGCAAGCGGTTCGCTTTCGGTCTTCGGTCACTCCAGACCAAAACGATTCCGAGCGAAATTTTCAACCTGACTTTTAGCACGAATTCGCTTTACCTCGCGAAACAGCACTCTTCGTCTAACTACAACACAGCAAACACATTCTCCTTCCATCATCGACAAAATTCTAAGTATTTTTACTTTGAGGATCGACCAGTATCTTTTCAACTTTTTCTGCTGTACGTTCGCGAATCCAAAATTGTCTATGGCCAGTAATAATACTTTCGAGCATAACCAAAACCCATCTAAATAAATGATTATTATATTAATATTTCACAAAACAAATCGTCAACTACTTTGATTTAGCTGGCATTGCACAGGTTGGACTTTCCTCATACAGTGCAAAAGTTGATCTACATGTTATATTAAAGGTAGCTCTACGTCAAACAGTATGTATGATATATGAAACATACCCAATTCTTGTTTCCATTTGAAAAGGTTTGAAGTCTCCTAAAGTTAACCACCCAAACAATTTCTCGAAGAAATATTGTATGTGAGCATAAATAGTACAGAGGATTCACAAATTTTAAGGATATGCTAATCGATAACTAAACAAGGAACTGAAACAAAGCAGGAGAATTTGTGAAGGTGAAGGATATACTTATTGGAATACACAAACCTCCAGAAAAACCTTCAATAGAAACGGGACACTGATTTAAAACTAAACTTTACAAATGATGCGCGCAAACAAATAGATCGCTTCGTTTATTACTCAAATAATTAAGTTCCCACTAATGAGTGATTAATCAACTTTCAAACGTAGCAAGATCTTCAGCAAACCGGCATATCGGCTAGCAAATTATGTGTAGGATATGTAAATCTTAGTTAGGATACCGATCGTTTGAGTGAAACCTCATTAATTTTGGGCACATGGTTGCATTTTGTGTAAAGGTGAAAAAATATTTGTGAGAGGCTATTTAAGGCGGATTTTAGACGAAATAAAAATTGAGAAACGAACTAAGCACATTGGCGAAACAGAAGGTATTAGAAATTCCATAACTCAACTGCTAAACTGAGGCAAACTGATGTGCTGATTCCGAATATCCCATAGTCTAAGTGATAACACTTCAGTTATTTCATGTAGATATCTCTATGAAAGCAGCAGGTGCTTTCAAAGGAAAATGCGAGTTCAAAATTGCGATTATCTATTAAAAGGTCTGAATCTTCTAACGGAGGTTTATTTTCTGCTGATCGCGTAAGATTCTACCTGCCTGTTTATCTTACTGTTATGATGTTGAAGCTTGTTAGTAAATAATATCTAATCTCACATATCTTGCTGCAAGCCAACTTTCATACACTGGCAACTTTCTCGCAAAACTAACCCAAATCGAAATCCTATCAAAGCAGAACTCGCCATCTTAAAAGGCAATGGGGAAGGCATGGACATTCCCATTTTGCATGATTCGCTCCACTGGCGCCTGGCCTCTTTGAGATACATGGTAGTTGGTTTCCTCGGAAATCAACAGTTGTCGCATGCTCCCTTAATTCTAACTAAATTGTTAAAATAAAACAGTAGAAATCGCTATTTAAAAACATTAGTAGCTAAAGGTGTTGATGATAGTATCTATTCGTTGCCTGATTGACCAACCGCTACTCATCTTTGCCTCCCGATCCATGGCGAAAGGCAACTATTGACTGCAACAAAGAAAACGCCGTTACTTTTGACACGTTTCGCAAATTCGCGTCGTCATCAGGGAAAATATACGAAACAATGTTGAATTGAATTTTAAAGCAGTGCTCAGATTTTCTTGAAAGCATATCTGTTGTTTCGAAGGGTGTGAGGGCTCTATGAAAAGTGCCATTACCCCTGTGAGTGACAAGATGTTCCAATTTCCTTGTTTGAGTATATATTCTCAATATCATTTCCGTATAACCTTATATCACATACCATAATGGCATTGGGCTGTTTGCCTCCTCCGACTCCGCTGCCGACTAGTATCATCTTCATCTTTGCATGAATCTTTGACAGCCATCTCCGCTACGTTCCAGCTGCCGGAAATCGTGAATCAGGTTGTGACCGCTGAATTTCCGCAGTCTATATCAATACCCAAACAGTCCGCATGTCTTTCTGCAATCTTGGCGAGACCGAGCCGGTCTGAAGTTCGAAAAAGTCTTCATCTTCATTCATCATCCATCGCCGCTTCTCCTTTCGGGTCGCGGAGGCAGACACGTCAGACAGTGCTTCCAACGTTCCCGATCC